ATTTGGTCAAGCATTTGATCAAGCGGCTTAATAGTGTAGGGGCAGCTTAAGGCGTTGACAACAAAGGAAGCTCTAGCGATTTTGCTTGAGGAATCTGATGATAGTGATCCTGGTGTAATAATTGATGCTGTGTATATTCCTCCTAATGTAGATACTGTTACCGATGAAGAAGATGTAGATGATAATGTTCTTACTGAGCAACCATTAGAAAAAGATATTACAGGTACTTTATAGTTTCTTACAAAAACTGGTATAACAAATGAAAAGTTAAATGAAGAGTCTAAAAATGATGAAGATAAGGATTTTAATGTGCCTCCAATGAAGAAAAGAAAAACGATCAGTGAAGATAAACAAATAATAATGAGTAAGAGTGTAGAAAAACAACTACTAAAAATAATAAAAAGCAAAAGAAATCGGAAATAATACCTAAATTGGAAAAAAAAAACATTCACCCAACATATTCTAATTCACCCTCATCCAATGAAAAAGAGCAATCGGAAATTCTGATTCAAAACCTTGATGGAAAACCACCAATAGAAATATTTGAGATGTTTATGGATGAAGAACTAAGTGATATAGTTATTTTTTCAAAAACATTCGCTGATGACAACCGTTTTGAAAAGATTTTTAGATTTACTAATTCTTTCTAGATACCATACACTTCCCCAAATAGATATGTACTGGTCTTTAGATGAGGATAAAGGACTGCCAATAATTTGGAAATGCATGAGTCGAAACAGATTTAAAAGCCTAAAGCAAAATATTAATTTATCGGATAACTTTTGTCTTGATAAAACAGACAAATTTGCTAAGCCACGCCCATTTTTAAAGCACTTAAATCAAAAGTATCTACAATTTGGAATATTTTCTCAACATTTGTCAATTGACAAAGAGATGGTATCTTATTTCGGAAGGCATTCATCAAAAATGTTTATAAAGGGGAAGCCCGTAAGGTTTGGATTTAAACTTTGGTGTTTGTGCTCGTCTGACGAATATCTTTTCCAATTCATTCCATATGGAGGTGCTGAGGCTAAAAGTGATGAACAAAATATGCCATTAAGAACACGTGTTGTTACGAAGTTACTTAGCGTTGTTTCAAACCCTGTGATGCACAAAATTTATTTTGATAATTTTTTTTCTTCTTATGGTTTATTCGAAATTCTGAAAATTGAATTATGGTTTTTCGAAATTTTCTTTGCATCTGGCACAGCTCGCGAAAATCGCATAGCTGGTTGCATATTAGATGACTCCAAAAATATGAAGAAAAAACATCGCGGTTCCTACGATTTTGCATTCAACAAGGATGCAGAAACATGTGCAATAAAATGGAACGACAATGCTGTGGTATCAATTGTTACTAATAACTGTAAAATGTTGCCCCTTGTAAATGCCAAACGATACAGTCGGAAAAAAAGAAAAGAAGTTGTGATTACTCAACCTAACGTTATTTCCGATTACAATGGTGTAGACCAGTGGTTCCAAACCTGGGGGCGATAGAGCTTTTCAAGGAGGCGACGAGTGCTCAAAAGATAAAAATTGCTAATTATATTAACCCCTCACAAATGTAAGTGCTTGTGCAACAGATGGTGCTCCAACCATGCCTGGTTGTCATACTGGGTTTCTGGGTCACCTTAAAAAAGAAGTACCGGAAGTTATCCCACCATTCATTATGTCATTTATCGTCAACTTTTCGCTGAGAAAAATTGGTTATTTCTGGCATCACTAAAATAAAAGCTAATTCTCCTAATAACCGTTTGTTCCGAGAACTTTGCCATGAAAATGATGAAGATATCGAATTCCTGCTCCTGCATACTGCTGTGAGATGGCTTTCAAAAGGTAACTGAGTCGTTTCTTCGAATTGCTGGATTCGGTTACTGAGTTTCTCGACACCACTGATCCTGTTTTAAGTGAGAGTTTGAAGCAACGCAAGTTGGAAACTGCGTACCTCACTCATAGTCTTGAAAAAATGAAAGAAATCAACGTAAAACTTCAAGGAAATAAAATGAACTTTATCAAGGCTAAGGGAATCATATCATCATTCATCGCCAAGTTTGATATTTACAAATCAAACATTGGTCGCATAGAGCTAATGCAACTTCCAACTCTTAAAAAGTGTTCAATGGCAGATATCGAGATTCTCGAGAAAAAAAAAATCGTAATTTTTACTGATCACCTTGATCAGTTATGGAATCAAGATTTAAAGAAATTAGAAATTTCAGATTGGATTTTCGATCCTTTCTCTTTTGAAGTTGTGGATAAGCTCACTTCCTCTACTGAGATTTTAGATTTGAAGTATGACTGTGAGGTTAAAGTCGTCTTTAAAAAATATGGTTACAAGTTAGCTTGGGTAAAGCTTATGGATACTTACCCACAATTGTGGAAACAAACTGAGTCGCTTCTTATCTCGTTCCCGTCAACATATTTAGTAGAGACAGGATTTAGTTCTGCCTTCCAGCTGCTCACAATGCAAAGAGAAAGGTTGGACATTTGCTTCAAAGGAGACCCGCGTTTAAATCTGAGGAGCATAAAACCTGACACTCAAGCTTTAACTTGAAATACACCAAGCACGGGGCAGTCATTGAAGTGGTAAAAATGTACTTTCTCAATCTTCATTTTTTTCTTCTCAAATTTTAGTTGTTAACGTTTTAACTTTCTCTTGATTACATTAAAATATGAATTTAAAAAAAATGTACTTTTGTTTTGATTATTCCGTTTTAAATATCATTTCTTTCTGAAAAAAAAGGGATGCACAATTTTTTTTTAATTAATGAAAATGACAGGATAAATGTGCCTCCTTATTTGCATTACAGTTTAAATTAAAATCAAACAACATTGCATATATTCAGTGTTTGGTTGCTCACAAGCAACAATGAATGGTTTTTTGAGCAAAAAGAGAAAGGGGCGATATGTGTCAGCCAACCCCAAGAGGGGGGCGATGGTCCACAAAAGGTTGGGAACCACTGGTGTAGACCTACATGACAATGCCATAGCTAACTATCGCATCAAGCTCCTACATAGCAATTTAAGCTCTGCGAAAAGACCCCGAAAAGTATAACAGAAAAGACAAACATAGTTTGATACTTCAAGCTGTATGTACAGTTGATTTAATGTTCACGCATGTATTTCGCTCTTTCCCCGGGTCTGTACAAGACGCAAGAGTTTTCCGAAATTCAGAAGTTTACAACGAGATGATTGGAAACCCTCGTTATTTTCCCAATCATACTCATCTCGTTGGAGACGCAGCATACCTGCTTGGAATAAACCTCTTGGTACCTGTTACAACTTAATTGTAACACCTTTTGTTGATCAATCTTGCAAGCTCCATAGAACACTTTTAATGTAACGAGCACAACTTATGTATGCTTCCAACACCCTACCATCTAAGGGAAGGCAGAGACATCTAGGTCAGGGTGCACCACGCAACCACCAGCCGAAGGAATGCAGAGACATCTACACACTGATACCACCTGGGTGATGGAGATATGTGATGACCTTTCTGATAGAAAGTGGCAACGCTTGAAAAGAATGTTCTAGCCGGTTCTTTTGTGAAGCAGATGGGGTAAGGAAGTGGTGAAGCTATGTGAGGGGGCTTCGGCCCCCAAGCAATTGATTTTTTTCTCTTGATAGAGATTTCAGCGTCGTACTTTTTTAGTAGGAAGTGTTACATTTCTTTTGATTGGATTTAATCCGAGATACTATGCAGGAGAAACGTTTTTAATTACTATATAATGATGGAGTTGTAGTAGCATGTGATGTTTAGTGTTTAATTTTATTTAATTCCTTAATTTGTTCTGCCAATAATGTCTTTAATAAATATCAATTTGTGAGTATATTTTGTTTGTCTACTTTCTAGCGGGTTTAATGTTTTCTTTTTATTTCTTAACATATCTTATTCTCATTACTTTTAACTTCTAGAGAATACTTTTTCGCAATTTGTACTTCCACTTTTAAATAATTTTTGTACCACCACGTGTGGTACTAAATTTAGTTTTGTTTAAATATTTGTAGGGTACCATGTGGTACAATACCAAATATATTTTATTCATTATATTTAACTTTTTATACGGCTACTTTTAACTGCTAATTATTTTAACACACCAATTTAAGCTTTATGATCAACACCAAGACAACTTTATTATTTGGTGCCGTGACCAGGATCAAATCCTATGAAAGGAGACGGCTTGCAGCTGAATGTGATCCATCAAAACCTGGTTCTTCAGGAGTCAGATCGAGAAGATCCGGTTCTCGTCCCGGACGAGCATCTCATGCTGAATGCGATCCATCAAGACCTGCTCCTTCAGGAGTCAGATCGAGAAGATCCGGTTCTCGCCCTGGACGTGCATCTCCTACAGTTTCTCCTCCTCTTGGTGGCCCTATTTCGCCTCCTCATGGTGGACCTCAAGTTTTGGCGTCTCCTTTAGCCGTCGCACGTAGAGGGTCTTCTGGGACGTCTGATACATACACAAGCTCAGTAAAATCGGTGAGAAAAGGGAGACGGACCACCGAAGCTGAAAGACTTCGCAGCTATACCAAGGAAATCGGAATAAGATTTCGGTCAAACAAATGAATGAGACGAAACCCAGGTTAAGAGCTAGAAAGGACATTTGCTACAAGGGAAGCATTATCATCTATAATAATGAACACACTAGATGATGTTGATACTGAAGATATCATAAAACTCTTGAATTGATATGTATGAAATGTTGGAAAGCGCAGTGACTTCAAACGGTGAAACTCTCTTCGTTCTCCAGGTCTAGCAAGCAAAAAGAAGTGAAAGTGTTTATGACTGAAACTGACCTACAAATAAATAACCCCAATGAGCTTCTCCTAATCATTTTAGGACGGGGAAAGCCTTTTGAAGAATTTAATAATTCAGTCTTATTTACTGATGAGTTAAAACATTTTCCTGTTTTAATTTGATTGTGTGATGGAAGTCTCTCTCTGCTCGGATTAGCAACAAAAATAACTTTTTGCGATGTATCTAGTTTTTGGTAAATTAAAGGCAGTAAAATTCTCTATAATAAGGTTATTTTAAAAAAAAAATCACAATTTTAAATTATTTGATTCTTCAAAAAAAAAAATCTTTGATTAAGATTAAAATAATTGATTGTGAATCTATCCTATTCTTAGAGTTGTGTGTGTTTTTTTAAAATTGATAATAACAGTTATCCTGATAAAAAGGAGTGACAATAAATACAAATTATTGACAGAGGCTCAAAATAAAAAAGATTAATTATAAATAAGAATAAAGTGTTAATTTTAAATTGTAACTCGTTAGTTATTAATAGTAAAATAGCAAATTAATTTAGTTACAAGTCTATTTCGGTTATACCCCCATGTAATTTAAATATAAATGTACTTTAAACTTATTAAATATGTACTTAATGTACATCTAAATAGATAATTTTCTTTCAGGTCTTCAATCCACATGATCTGCAATCGCACCCAAAGCATCCATGTCTTGTTGGAAAAGATAATTGCGTGATCCACAAACAGAGTTTCAATTTGCCATTGATTAAAAATTTCAATATATTTTTAGCTATTGTTTAAAAAGAGAAAAATGATTAAAATAATTCATCTGGGATATTTCTCTCCCTATTTAAACTTGCACATTGAATTTCACGAGAATAAATGTTGCAAGAGATTTTTATTTATAATTGAGAAAATTAATTAGAATTTTATAAAATTTCTCTCTGTTGGGAGATATTTCTCCACATGTTTGAAATATGTATCTAATTTTTGTAGTCTTAGCATTTGAAATTTTTAAATTTTGTGAAAATTATAAATTAATTTATAAGATGTCTTTTTTTATTCTCGTATCACTCATTATTTTTTTTTTAAATTTTAGGGACATAAATTTTGAGGTGTGAGGAATTTATGTTAACTATGGGTGGCATAGCTGTGAACACCACAATTAAAGATGCAACAGTAACTGTAGCAACTTGGTTTTCGTCTTATTACATATTAATTATTCAGACCCGTTGGAATTATCACGCACACTAGAATTTTTTCAGAGGTACTAAAAATTTTATTGATTTTTCTTCCCCCCCCCTAATGTTCTAGTTAAACAAACCTAAGTTCTAAAGTTCTTGAGCCGAAAAAAAAAAGTTTTAGCAAATCGTTAAAATGCCACAAGACCTATAAACATGACTTTTTATACCATTCTTCCAATTGTTGCACAAAAATTTACCTGATGTGTGTTTCAATATATTATTCATCAAAACCAATTATATTTTATATAAACCTATGATTGGAACAATATCTTATCAGAATTGCTGTTTCTGATTAAAATTTAATTATTAATTCAAATAGTTCTAATTAATTACAAATGAAACTCAATTCAGTTAAGGGATGATCCATCAGTTATTTTGTGCTTTTATCATAATGTAAACAACTTAAATTAAAGATTAGAAGCTCTGATTTAATTCAGGATTTTTTTTAATGAAATCAAATCTCTAATAAATCAAATATTATGATAGTTAACTTTATTTTTGAGAAATCTTAAATATTATGAATAGTAGTAAAAACGTTTTAAAGGATTAAAAAAGTCGTTTAAATATTTTGTTATTACAAATTAACAATAGATTCTGCTTTGATGTGCCCTCGCACTTTTTTTATTATGCTCTACTCTTAATAGATTTAATTAATTTAAAAATGTTGCAGATTGAGCCTGTTAAACAAATGTATGTGACTTTCCAATATTCTGTAATTGTTTGCTTTCTCATGTGAAAATGTCAAATCTAAAATGTTAGAAATAACTGAAAGTTACAATTCCTAAGTTACTAAAATATTTTAAACAAAATGGGGCTGTCACTAAAACAGTAGTGTTGTATTATGTTTTAAGAGCTAAAAAGCTGCTGAATATATGCTATGCATCAATTTTATTCATTAAGTGTTCATACTGGTTGAGAATAGATCCTTTTCGCTAGATAACACATATTTTTTTTAATCTAGTCCCGAGATAAGAAAAATTTTTTTGTTCATTAACTTTTGGGTCAAGTTGCATTTGGCTTGGTCAGCCTTTCTGTGCTGAATTTACTAACAACTGGTTTCTCTAATAATTAAGTCTATAACTACTGATAAACTTGTCAATTTGTATAAATGCTAATGGTAATTATTAATTTGCTTTTTGTTGAGAGCCATTTTTTTTTAGCTTTTATTTTCTTACATATGTGTATGTTGAGCGTTTCTAAATAAAAGGATTCTCCATGAAAAAATGGTATTAAAATAGTATTGAAAATATTTTTGACTTCGTGGAGTATTTTTTTCTTCTTTTTTACATTTTCCACAATAAGAAATTTGAGATATGGTGCGGCAAGATTTTCTATTTTGGCTAAATTTATTCCTTAAAAATCAGTATTTGGAATATTGATATCAGTAATGTTTATCCTTACAAAATTTTCAATAGAAAAAGTCAGTTTGCTATTATATTGAACTTTATCATAATTATAGTTGTTTCTGAAGCCCAAAGAAATTGACGTATATAAAATTATTTTTTTACTAATTTTAACATATTTTTCAGATGCTCTGTTGGAATAAATCCAGTGTCTGGCTCAAAGTAGAAAGGCAAAAGATTGTATCAGGGGATTCACCCTAAGATTTTAAGCTTTCTATCTTTGACAGTCGGGTGAAAGATAGTCGAAATTAATGAATTAATAAATTTTTTATTCTTTCTTTCATTCACACGGTGCGTGGCATTTTTAAAAAGTGTTTATTTTGCTTATATGGAATGATCTGTAGAAATTAATAAAGTCATTTTTGTTATTTGTAATTGTTTTCTTTTCATTATCTGTAATTTATCAACATGTTTATGAAGTTTTAATAAAAAACTTTGCTAAAAAAGAGGATCATGATAAAGTTATGATTGAGTGGGTACCGTTAACAGGATTAATGTTAAGATTTTTCATAAAGAAATGGGCATTCAAGAGGAGTGCAGCTACAGTACTGGATGGTTAAAAACCTTTAAAAAAAGACATGGGATGCGCCAGCTATCTATTTGCGGAGATGGCGCGGAAGCTGATACCGAAGCTGCTGAAAAATTTATAGAAGATTTTGAAGAATTAATTAAAAATGAAGACTTGTCAGCAGAACAAGTATATAATGCCGATGATACTGGACTGTTTTGGCGGTATGTACCGCGAAAGACTTTAGCCGCTGAAAAAATTGGAACAGTTGATGTTAAAATTACCTAGTTTATATTTTGAGAATAACTTAATTTTCAAAAATTGTGGTATTAATTGTTCTAATTATCATTCATATTCTGTTTTCTTATACATTAAATGATATATCTTGAAGTTCGGTATTTAACCTGTTGAAAATTTCATTCTTGCTGGCCTTATGACAAACGAGCAATAGGGACCCTGTTGTTGTATAGTTCCTATTCAGGTAGACAAACAATGTTAAGAAAATAGTCACCCGACACGCCTTAGGTTACCATTAAATTTATTAAGTTACTCCGCCAGTGTAATTTTTTAGCTACGAACTATTTTCATATTTCTTTGAAAATTTGAAAGTATTTTAGCGCCTAATCTGCTTTCTGAAATCTTGGCTACTAATATTATAGAGTTAACAATTAACTAAACAGTTCTATTAAGCTGTTTGCTTATTAGAACTATTAATTATATTAGAACTATATTTTAAACATTTTATAAATGAGCTAAGCCTTCTTTGAAGTTTTTAATGAATAATCTTTGCTATTAAGATGGAAACAATTCATATAAATCCAAGTGTTAGATTTCTCCAGAAAAAAATTATTATATAATATTAATAGATTTTATCATTGCTAACTTTTATGGTTAGCAAAGAAATTTACTAAATGACAGTATATAAACTTGTAAACTTAAAAGAATTTTGGGTATGTTTCTCTGTATAAATATTGTATTGTATTAAAAAAAAAAAAAAAAGGGTGCCATTTTGGAAAAAGTTTTAAAAGTTGTCAGTTCTGTATACCTTTAGACTAACAAATTGTTATTGCATGATTAACAAACAATACATTTATACTGAATAATTTTAAATTGGTTCAATCAATAGAAAAGAATTAGTGTGGGTAATTGGTTGGTTAACTCCTAAAGTTGAAGTATTTATGTGGTCAAAGTTTTAATGTTATGTAATAGCAAATCAGTGATTGGATTTCACCTTTTAAAAAATCCAAAATCATTTGCTTTTTTTTAATATTTAAAATTAATAATTATTTTAGACAAATTAATGCTAAGCAATATTATTGGCATCAGCATTTCTTATTTGCTTTTTGTAACAATTGTTAATAAGACAACAGTTTTTATAAATTTAGATAATGGCATAAGTATAATATAGGCTTTTAGTAAAATATAGGATATAATAACACAGTAGGAAAAGTATTGCAATGCACTTTGATTAAAGAAATTTTTTGTGTTAAAAATTTATTTAAAAAACTTAAGTCTTTCATTCAAATTAAAATAAATAATTTCTTCACTATCCTACAAAGGTGACTGGACCAAATTGCTGCCAATAAAAATATATATACGACTACTAATTTATTAATGTAGATGTCTCTGATTATAAAATTAATTCTAATTATTAATTTCAAGAATTATCTATAAAGAATTAAAAAAAAAAAAAGAAAAACTAAATTAAATTTGAAAAATTAGGGTCAGGTAATTAATTACAAATGAAACT